TCCTTGACTAGGAGAAATCTTCCTTCCAACATCCCTTTACCCTCATCTCCTAGGTCAGAGATTCTTGAGGAAATCTTTACTCAGCTCCAGACGTTTTGACTAGTTGTCCTAAGGCCCTGAGGTCCCTCTTGATTTTTCACAGCCTTCTTTTTGGTACCCACCTGGGAAACAAGTAGTGTGAATAATCAGTGGGCCATACCATGCTGGAAAGTTTCTGGTTGATGTCCCTTACCTGGGGGAGACAACACACCCCTCATGGGTTGGGTCTGGTCAGCATATCGGCCCCTCCATTCATCTCAAAAGGGAGTCACCTTCTATTTTTTTTATGGTATTTTTTTAGGTATTTACTGGTTTACCTTCTTTTTTTCTTAATTGAGGAGGTCATGAAGTGGGGAGTAGGCTGCCCTGCCCTAGGCTACCCCTCCAACCTGGAATGACCTTTATCCGCACTCTCATTTCCCTGGTCCTCGGATTCCAGGGCCTCATACCTGTTGTATAAGGGTAGCTGGGGAGGTGAAGTAAGTCAGGAGGGACTCGCCTGCAACTCTGAGCAGAAAACCATTTCCACTTCCCTCCTTCTCTAAGGTGCCTTCCTTCTGCCTGATGGTGAAGAGGTAGGGGATCCATTGTTTCTTGTGAAGTGGATGGTGAGCGTGTTTGTCTAAGGCAGGGTATAGTGCAGTCAGTCTCTTCCTCAGAGTCCCTAATGCTTCTTAGTCTTTTTCTTCATCTCTCAGCTCTGCCACTAGGCCTACATAGGGTTATGTATAGGATGTTTGTGGTTGTCTTGCAGTGTAGGGTGAATTGCTGGGTTTATACTGGGGTTGCACTGGACTTGTTAAGAATACTTGTACCAATGTGGCGTTTCGCTCACTGCCAACCACTGAAATTTTTTGGAACTCCTGTCAATCATAATACAGGCCTCTGTCCACCCTTACGAGCAACATCTGCATGTAAGAGCAACTATATATCTAATATCTCACTATTTCTGCCTCCTTTTAACCATCATATCCACAGATATCTATATAAACAGGTTCAAGTAAGGCAAGGTATTCAGTGCAAAACCCAAAGAGACTCATAGAAGATGAGCTGGCCAAATACTGGCTTTTTAACTAGGCAAGAAATTTTGACATGGAGTATGCTCAGGGGGGATGTACAACTGGAATATTTCCCGTAAATATTGGAAAGAATGTTTAGACTGTATTAAATAAAACTTTTGAAAGGTGAGTGGGAATAATATTGTATAATGCCTATTGCCCATAACTAGAAGGTTGTGTAATGTTAGTAGCTGTATAGAATTAGAAAATTTTTTGTGATGGATAGATAGATGATTGATAGATAAATAGGTAGGTAGATGGATAACAGAGAATGGAAGCTAAAGCAGATTTCCAAGCATTTTAACTCTCTGCTGCTATTTAACAGCACAATCAATAGTTCCGAAAAGGGAAAGACATTTGCAATGCTAATTGCAATTCACAAGTGGGGGCGTTTGGAGTGGGTGGAAGAGTTAGTTGTTTGCTTGCCGAGGGACATTTCAGAGCTGCTGAAGTTCTGATACTAGTAATTCTTTTTGTAAAACAATTATCTGGCTGACTAGAACACAGGAATAATTTCTAAATCAAAGAAATCAATGTAGGTGGTACTTCCTCAGGTAGTGATTTTCTGGCAGTTTTTTCTGGTCGTCTCAGCGCTCCCAGTGAGAGGAGAGATGTGATGAAGAGCTTCTAGCCATGGAGCTAGTGGGACCAGTAGCCTTTGCTAGCTCTTAATGGTCCACAAGGCTTGTCTCTTCATCCAAAATTTTGTCAAATATCTCTTATCTATTTTCTGGTATCTACTTTTTTATTTCTGAATAATAATGGATATATTTACCTATGGTGTGACCTGAATCTGCCAACCTTATTTAACCTGATTAGTGCTCTACTCTGTGCATGCAGAGAGAGATTTGTTGGCCCCAGTTGAAGCACTTACAGAATAAAGTATACACCAGTGTGACAGAGAATGACAAAACTGAGCTCTTCACTCTTCTTTTCTTCCTTAAGCTAGGGTGAATGTTCCCTGGATTCCACAAACTGACTCCACAGCATGAGAACATAAGTTTGTGCATATAAGACCAGAGTGCAGATCATTTTGGGCAAGAAGAGGAAGAAAAAACAATATTCTGATGCCAAGTCTTGTTAATTCCAACTCTTAAAAAAGTGTCACTCTAAGCATATGGGATGAAGTAATAGCAAAGGCACCCATCTCCTGCCACTCTGCAGTTTGCTGCTGGCCTCCCAGTGTCCCCCAGGATGTTCAAAAATAAACTGGGGTTGGATGTGGTATGGAGTCAGTGTTACCTGGTGCACTCAGAAACAATTCTTTATTTGGTCTAGGTAAGAATTTCTGCTTTATACAGGGTAAAATGTAAATGTCTGTGGCACCTAGATGTCACAGACATATAGTTTTAAATACCTGATCTAAGAATTTTAAAAGATCAAATATTAATATGACTTCTTTTTGATTTTTTTTCTCAAACAACTAACAGAGGAGTGACTACTATTGTTATATATGTTTTGATCATTAAGAAATGGAGGTATGAAATTTCCTTTCTAAACAACTTTGAAATTAGAGCAAATGTTTTAATTTCCTGAAACAAATCCATTTTTTTCTAGAAAAAAATCCTGAAATTCCTTTTTAACTTCTGCTGAATTCAAAAAAAATAATTATTGGATAAAGGGGAATCTGGAAAGGGTAATAGATTTTCTTTTTCCATTTCAATATGGTGTTGTGAAGCTATTTTATCATGTTCAACTTTTCAAACCAGTTAAAAAACTTCATAAAATAAATGCAGTAGTTCATCTCAGAGCATTTTAATAATCTCCAGCTTTTCCCTAAAAAATCTTATCACCACTTTGGTCAAAGTAAAATGTACTTATTCCCTGCAGCAATATGAGAACATGATTACTCTGAAGTACAGGAGATATCTATTACTATGATCTTAAAATGTCTGCATTGCCTTGCACCAACACTCTGCATAGTCCTTTTCTGTAACATCTGGGTAAAGCTGGAAAAATCTGACTGATTCCAGTGGGGTTAGTTAGAATATATCCAGGAGTAGTTACTCTCCCTGCTTAGCCATAGGCTGATACAAGATAACCTGGTGGCTGATGAAGAAGCAAAGAAAAAAGGACTTAGGTTAACTGTGTGATAGTACAGAGAGGTGTAATGGTATGAACAACCTTCTTTTGTTTCCCTCTCAGAAGGTTTCAAGAGTCTTGCTGTTAATATTATATTTTTGTATTGAAACATGATTCAGTATCCCTTAAGAGGACTGAGACGTGGGTGTTCCAGCTATGAAATGAGGGTGGGAAGAAGAGGGACCAGGCAAATGGGAACCACAGGGACAATCTAGTACAGAGGCGGTTCAGGACCTGTGCTCCAAATAGCCACCTGCCCTGCAGGCTCTGGGTAGAGTGGCTAGATCCCTCTTGTGGTTTTAAAAAATATCTTTTGGATATATATGGAATGGAGGAATTTTGAAAACACTGATTCTGCATACTGATTTGCAGTTGGTAAATCTCTGGCTATCAGCTCTTTAAAACAGTTTGGAGATCATAGAATCATAAAATGGTTTGGGTTGGAGGGGACCTGAAAGATCATTTAGTTCCAACCCTTTTACAGTGGGCAGGGGACACCTTCCAGTAGACCAGGTTGCCTGGTCCAACTTGGCTGTGAACACTTCCAGGGATGGGGCATCCACCACTGTAAAGAATTTCTTCTAAATATCTAACCTAAAGCTACCCTCTTTCATCTTAAAGCTATTCCCCCTTATCCTATCACTACTTGTCCTTATGAAAAGTTCCTCTCCACCTTTCCTGTAGGTTCCTTTATGTACTGGAAGGCTGCTGTAAGGTCTCATGGAGCCTTCTTCAGGATGAACAATCCCAACCATCTCAACCTGTCTTCATAGGAGAGGTCCTCCAGCCCTCTAATCATCTTTGTGATCCTACTCTGGACTCATTCCAATGGATCTGCATCCTTATGTTGGGGATCCAAGAGCTGGATACAGTACTCCAGGTGGAGTCTCATGGGAATTGGAGTAAGGGGGAGAATTACCTCCCTTGACCTGCTGGCCACGCTTCCTAGAGATTTCTTGGTTTGGTTTGTAACAAGATAAATGAACCACTTAATGAACTATTAGTGGGTCATTATGTCCTGTGTAAATATTGAAAAAATCAACAAATAAATACAATGGATACCAGTTTAAAAAAAAAAAATCGACATTGATGAATTGCAACAGGGCTGAAGCAGCAGTAAGATTCCTGTTTGAGGAAATGCTCCAAATGAACTCCAGTAGAGGTGTCTTACTATCTGTAGTACATGGGAATGTGAGATTCCTTTAAAAGACTCAGCAGTGAGGCTCTATTTGGTTTTTTTTGAGGCAGATCCAACTGAGGTGGAGGCAACCTGGGGGGAGGGAAGCATGCCCTGATTGGGAACACTAGGCTGTGCCACATGGGTCTGGGAAGGCTTGCTCAGATCAGAGGGCCAAGTAGCTGCTTTTAGGTGATACAGAGCTCAAGTTAATGAGCTGACAAGACTTCTAACTTGCACAGGACACAAATGTGGTACTCCTGCTCCTGGACGTGAATTGTCTTTAGTGAAGTGCTTGAACGCCAAATGAACTTTCTGAGTGAAAACCCCTGGGCACAAAATGATATTTTCCAATGAAAGTTTATTTCCTCTGAAAATTTCCAATCAATTATTCCACTCTTCTGCTAGTTTAAGCATGTAAAAATGTTTTTATGGCTTGCCAACCACCTCAGCCTGAGGTTGGCATACTTTTCTTATTTGCACTTAATCATATTTTCGTTATTTCTAACAGATTCTTTCAAAGTAATTGTTTGTAAGAATTGAAAGATCTGTGGAATTCATTACAAGATTATAAATTTAATCTGCAAAGTGATACAAAGATTCTTCTTTCTAAAACCTCTAAGTATTTCTTTTGTCTTTCACAGATATCCAAGCATCACTGAGGGTGTGACCAATGCTCTTCCTGCCTAACCCTACAGGCCAGTAATTTCCCTCGACTGTCCTTGGCTGTATGTCTGCTTTTAAATAAAGCAAAATCACCCTTTTCATAGCCAAATATTCATCATCATCATCATCATCATGGCTGGGCTTCGCGAACGAAGATTTGGGAAGGCTCTATCCACATTTGCTACAGGCACGCTGGTGGCTTATGAGGCCAATACGTGACAGACATATCGGATTGCAAAAGGCACAGCAGAAAGACTCCTTAGGTGGTAAATTCTGCAAGGCACGATTCTTTCTGCGTTGCCTTTTTTCCTCGAGAGTGATCCTGCGTGTGTTCTCGAAGGAGACAGCTGCGTTATAGATGGTGTGTCTCCAGGCCTCCCGATTGGAGGCCAGAGTAGACCAGTTATGGTGATCAATATGGCCAAGGCTGAGATGTTGTTTCAGGGAGTCCTTGTATCTTTTCTTCGGGGCTCCTCTCTTGCGGCAACCAGTGGCAAGTTCACCGTAAAGCAAGATCTTAGGGAGGCGGTGGTCCTTCATCTGGGAGACGTGCCCTGCCCATCGCAGCTGCGTTCTCATCAACATGGCCTCAATACTTGTGACTGCTGCTTGCTCTAGAACAGATGTGTTGGTCACATAGTCTGACCAGTGGATGTTTAGGATTGTGCGGAGGCAGCGTTGATGGAAGCGTTCTAAGAGACGCAGATATTAATATTTGGTTTAAACAACATTAGGGCTGTGATATAAAATCCAGGCAACATTAAAAGAAGATTGATACTTTCTCCTTTAATCACATGGCTTTGTGTCTTGGCACATGTTTGGCATGCATTGTCAGATTAACTGTGGTAGGATTTACAATTTCGTGGAGTTCAGTGCTTCATCTTTTACCTTTGGCAAACGTGATGATCTCTTCTACCACAGAGCTTCTCACCAGGGTAGCAGTCTCTTGTGACAATACCAAAAAAAGTGTGCCAAACACATGTACATCAGGTGCCATAACATGTCAAGGTGATTTTGAGTGGTAGTATAGCACATGCCAATCTTCACTTATGGCTGCTTCCTATCAGGAGCTGGGAGGAATTTGGTAAGAAGGCTTCAAATTTATATATAAATATAAAAATTAAAAATAAATGAAGCTGTTTGAGTGAGATTTGAACCCTGGAGAATAAAAACATGTAGCAATACTTCTATTATTCAGATAATAGAAATAGTAGTAAAACTGTTCTCTTTTACTTCCTTTAAATAAATATGTCAGCTTTTTAAGGTCTAAACCATTACATTAAAACATTAACAATCTCTAAACTAGCTCAGATTCAACTTGACAAAAACTAGAAGTATCTTGAGAATGTGAATAAGAAGAGAAATCTGTTTTTGTCAGCAGAGTGACAGCAGCTTCTTTTATGCTTTTAGAGGTGAAGAAACTAAAAATGTGTTGCATTATGTTGCAAAAGAAGAAGCAAACTCAAAGTCCTCTGACATAATTTTATTTTGCAGACCCTGCTTAGGAGGCATAGTTATAATTGGAAAAGGAGAAAGACTAAATGTTCTTCATGAACTTTTTGGTTTTTTCTAATATATTGAAAAAAAATACTTAGCAAAATCAAAGCTGTGTGAGTGATGTTAGTATTTTGGGGTTTGGAGTGGGGGTTTCACAGTATGTTGGGTAGTGGCTAACATAAGAGAGTCATAATCAAAGGGTTTCAGATGTTGTTGCATATAATGCATAACACTAGGAAGTGGTCTTGAGAACCAGCATTTGTCAGGATGTTCTTTTACCCTATAAAAAATATATCTGTGAGGTAGAGGCCGTGAGACGTCATCCTCAAACAGCAGAACCACAGCAGAACACGTGGCTGGGTGTGTCAGAGATGGTGTGTTCAACCCAAGGGCTTCCAGGGTGCCTCAAGCCAGAGGTCACTCTAATTGATTTGATTTGCTTCAGGTTGTCTTTCCAAATACCTGTCTCACTGTGCTTCTCCCTTAATGCCTCCTTCTGCATTTTGGTCTCTGTTCTGCAAAGACTTTAATGTGGCTGCAGGACAGTGCATGGATAGACTCTCTAATGGCTCGAATGTGCCACACAGAGCTCACGGTCAACCTGGGGTGCTTTGATCTACCTCTGGCATCTGACATTTGCGTATCCAACTCAAGAACTGGTGAATGGACTATTGAACCTGCTCAGTTCTGTGTCAGCACGTCTCTATTCTGCTTTTCCTGACTCACAAATCAAATATTTCATTCTTCAGCACCATGAGAGGCTCCCTCAGCAACTGACATATTTGACAGCCACACTGCACTTCAAAGAACTTCACAGGGTTGTTAGCAGTAGCAGGGATTTTTCACAAAGTTGTATTTTTAGCGCAGAGTCTGAAGGAATGACTTGACATATAGTACAGTGATCCTAACCTTACTCTAAGCACAATAGACTGCTTAATTTATAACTGCTTTTTGAAATAAAAATTCAACATAGAATACTTAGCAAAGTCAGATCTTCTGTATAAGAAACACAGAACTGCAGAAATGCTGGGTGAGCATTTATTAAAAGTAGCTCTGATTATGTTTTTCATTCCATAGTATGACTGATGACCTAGTTTTCCCTATATTGTTTATTTCATGGATTTCTGGCTTCTATCGTTACTGTCAAAGGTACAGGGTTATAATGAAAATACATTAGCAGGCTGGTTTAAGCTAAATACTTTCTGTAATACTTGGAACAAAGGAAAAAATTTTATTCTGGAACATTCATTTTCTGAAATACATTCCAGAGAACAATGGCAATATGTTAAATCTCCTTGTCTGTTGAGTGCCCATGTGTCTTCTTTTTGACTCATCCAGGCATGTGGCCAATGATGAGTATTTCTAAATTATCTTTCAAAAATCCAACAGAATATACAAGGTCAGTGAATTCGCAAAATTTGTTTCACCTACTCTTGATTGCCTCCCTTCTCCTTCTTACTTTCCTCATTTTGTCTTTTTAATTTACCTATTTTTCCCATATGGTATCATCTGTCCTTTCTAACTACTGCATTCAATGGGGAATTGGAAACTGAAGCAAGCAGAGCGTGAGCTTGCCATTATCCTAACGCACTGACTTGTGTGGTATTACGCACAGACATCTTCTCACCTTTCGGTTTCTTGTTCTTTTTTTTTGAAGCATTTTCTTGTGTGGATGTGCCTGACCCACTGGGTTACCTTAAAGATGGGAATTGAGTCCATGAGATTAAGCTGGTGTCTTTTTTGGCCTTCTCTAGGCCGATGTTCAAGGCTCCGTTGTGGCTTGTGCGAACTCGCTGTAAATTTACTCAGCTAATACCACTGCAGGTGCTTGTCTGGGCACTCAGCAAATGTTTGTGGTGTGCACTCAGACTCGCACGAGTGTGAGCGGTGAGTGTGTGTGTTGTGGAACAAATTGTTCAGGCTACCATTTATGTGGTGGCACTTAATTTAAATCTCCACTCTTCTGAGTTGTCGTAGATGCATTAACTCTGTTCTGTACATGCCCTCGATGGAGATGCTGTGCCGCTGCTGGAGCTCTGCTTTCTGCAGCCTGGTCTGTGAGGCCTTGGGGGAGTTCACCATCATAGATAAGAGTGTGTGTCTGGTGTCTCTAAAACAGACATTGAGTTGATTTTTGTTGATTTAAACAGACTAACGTGAAATAAGACTACTGAAAATTCAAAGACTGCAGTTGACAATTTGAAGGGAGAAGCATTTTTCTGGGTGGATCTTCCTGGGGTTGCTGAATGGGTGTCATAACATTTTCTTTTCTCTTATGCCATGTGTATTTGTCAGTGCTGCTCTCTGCTCTAGAAGGAGTTACGTAAATATGTCTCTCTCTCGCATTGCCTTGGATTTAGTTTTCCTGTGCTACTACTATGAATGCGAAAAATTGATTTCAGAAATACTAATTTGTTAATTTCAGTTCCCACATGTGATGTGTTTGACTTTTTTTATTTTATTTTTTCAAAAACATTAAAAGTTGTACTGAGTCTTTTATATCTTTTTCTGATTTATCCTCGCCACACAGAAACACATTTCTAAAACTTGCAGTGTATAAATACTGTTTAAGGCTTTCTGTGGATTTATCCACCACATTTTAAGTTAAACTGGGGGATTAATTTGTGTTGCATATTCTTTCATTATATGAATTTGTCCATAGGACAGAAAACATCAAAAGAAAGGTTTTTATTAGGGGAAATACTGTGAGGTTTTCTCCTTCCCTTTTGCAAAAGATATGAAACAATGAAAAACCACAAATACTAAAAACTATTAATATGAAGAATATAAAATCTAGGTAGCATTTTCTTGCATCTAAATCCATATTCTATGAATCTTTGATGTGACATAAAATTGTAAGTGCTGAGTGGGGAGTGGGACAGAAAGCCACAGGGAGCAGCAGCTCTCTGTTATCTTTCTTCATTTCTATATATTACTGCAGACAGAAGGAAACCTCTTTTAGAATTATTTTATTCTTATTTCTACTTTTTCTAAATACGTTTTAATTTATTGAACCCTTTGGTCAAGTTACAATAAATATTTGAAATGAATCAGACCCTGTAAGTGAGCAGTGGGGCAGGTAGCAGGTGTGTAGGCATCAGAGAGCATTTTCCTTTCCACAACTGCCTAACTCTAACCCTTCTGCAGCCTCCTTGTCTCCTTCCTACCAGATATGTTTCCCTGCCTAAGCCTATGCTATTTTGTGATGGTTATCTCAGGCTGTAGATAATGGAGACCTTATTTTCCAATCCTGTCCCCTTTGAAAAGATCTAGGTTGCCCAGGTTACAGATTACACATTGAAAACATGGTTCTTACACAACCACCCAGTGGGAACCCAGATAACTACTGGATACAAGTTTTTCTTTCATTTATCCCATATACCAGAACAAGATCAGCTAATGTCTGGAGCATCTTATTAGCCTGGGCCATGTGCCATCCTGTCTTGATCCAAGCTCTCCGAAAGGCCTTTGAAGACAGCAGTGCCCTGTTGGTGTGGACACTGTATGCAAATGTGCAAAGCTCACCAGACTTGGACCTATGCCACTGGAGCATGGGACCAGCTTA